TCCTTCAGTGACTCACTTCTGTGGACTGCTTTCTGGCTGGATCTCCCCCGTCTTCAGTCATTCATGGACCAGTTACTCTCTTCTTTCCTCCCTTTGTTATCCCCAGGCTTCTCCACCTCTTTAAAGGGGAAGTTCTGCAGTTTGCTTGGCCAGGCTGCTGGGTGTCCTCCTGGCCCCCCTCTGTCTCTAAGCGTGCCACGGTGTCTCTATCAGGTTGTGTTCTGGCTCTGTCCCCACAGGATGCCCAGAGTCCAGCCTCTGCTTATCATCCCCATCGCTGTCACCTTGGCCCAAGCCGCCTTCTTCCCTTGGACTAACACAGTTGCCTCCTAACTGGTCTCCCCGGTATCTCCTCTTACAACCCCCTCCCTCTTCCACAGCAGTCAGAGTGATCGCCTCAAAATACAAGTCAGAGCCAGAAGCCTTTCAGTGCCTTCTCACAGCACTTGCATTTCTGCCCAGATATCACCTCATCAGAGAGCTGCCCTGATCACCCTGTCTGAAACAGCACCCGTGCCTCCCTCTGTCTCGTGACCCTGTCCCTTACCTGCTCGGATTTTTCGTTTGTTTGTTTTTTGTTTTGAGACAGAGTCTTGCTGTGTCGCCCAGGCTGGAGTGCAGTGGTGCGATCTCTACTCAACTGCAACCTCCACCTCATGGGTTCAAGCGATTCTCCTGTCCCAGCCTCCCAAGTAGCTGGGATTGCAGGCGTGCACCACCACATCAGGCTAGTTTTTGTATTTTTAGTAGAGACGGAGTTTCACCGTGTTGGCCAGGCTGGTCTCGAACTCCTGAGCTCAGGTGATCCGCCCGCCTTGGCCTCCCAAAGTGCTGGGATTACAGGCGTGAGCCACGGTGCCCAGCCTGGATTTTGTTTAGAGTACCTAGCACCACTGGCATGTTAGGTAGTCATGTGTTGGCTGAGTAACACCCACCCTGGAGACCCTAGGTGGGTGGGACCTGGGAGCCTAATTCGTATACTGCTTTTAGCTATTTTCAGTTCACACCTCATTGTCCTCATGCAGGATGACTGTTCCCAGAGCTTTTAGGGCTTCTGTGGGAGAGATGGTTTGCTGTGCATCAGCTTACCTCTGGAGAGCTTCTGCTCAGGGAAGTCAGTTACCAGATTTTTGGCTTACTGTTTATTAAAAATTTATCAAAATATCTTACTGGCTTCTGTTTACGTAGTTCCCTGTTTTTTTAGAGGTGTGTTTGTGCGTGCTATATTCCTGTATGTAATTTAAATGAGTCTCAGATAGAGGAGGATACTGATAGTCATGTTTAAATCTTCTCTCCATTCTCTCTGTTCCTACTTTCAAATCACATGTAGTCTCCACCTCAACCTCCCTAATAAATCTTACAGCTTTGTAGGTGTTTTGATTTGTGAAATTATATATTGTAGAAAAGCCATCTAGCATAGAAGAATCATGGCCGAGTATTGATGAGCCAGCAGGGATGGTGACCCACGCGGAGGTGCCTGAGCAAGAGGAGCTGTTGGCTGTAGTGAGACCTTCATGCTACTTGGGATGCATAAGAAATGCCTTTAGTGGCCGGGTGCAGTGGCTCAAGCCTGTAATCTCAGCACTTTGGGAGGCCGAGATGGGCGGATCACGAGGTCAGGAGATCGAGACCATCCTGGCTAACATGGTGAAACCCTGTCTCTAAAAAATACAAAAAAAAAAAAGCTAGCCGGGCGAGGTGGTGGGCACCTGTAGTCCCAGCTACTCGGGAAGCTGAGGCAGGAGAATGGCGTGAACCCGGGAGGCGGAGCTTGCTGAGATCCGGCCACTGCACTCCAGCCTGGGCGACAGAGCGAGACTCCGTCTCAAAAAAAAAAACAAAACAAAAAACAGAAATGCCTTTAGTTTAAGCCCCTTGAGTTAAACTGATGTAAAAATGCAATTATTTTGTGCTAATTCTGTGAGTATCAGCTTTCATTGATTTAGCATTTACCTGATATCTTTTTTCATTTATTGTCTAATTTGTATTTTTTTCTTTGGTGTATCTCATGAGTTTCAGACTGTCTTAGTTATGTTTTCAGTATGTTTCTTCTAACATGAATGTGTTCTTTGTCGGTCGGTTTTTTCTCTACTGTTTTGGAAGCTCTACTTCCTCCGCGCTCCCTCCCTACATTTTAGTGCTCGATTGTCTAAGTCATTCGCAGACCCACTGAACGTTTCCCTTTAAACCGAAGTCTATACAGTTGCATTTTCTCTTTTCCCAAGTGAAAGATGTTTCTTTATACCTTCATTTTCTATGATTCTCATCTATTTGCATCACACACATGCTTAAATCGTATAGCTGATAATAATTTTAGTTCAGATGTGTTTGAATCAATATTTAGATTTACGTTCTGCTGTTTTCAGTGCTCACCATTGTATCCAGCTTCCCACCAATTCTTTCTGTGTCTTAATGTTGTCTGTATAGAGTGTATTTTTTTTTTTAATTTAAAAAAGTTGTTAAATTTTTTTTTAGAGACAGAGTCTGGTTCTGTTGCCCAGTGTAAAGTGCAGTGGTACAGTTATGGCCAACTATCGCCTCAAACTGCTGTGCTCAAACCATCCTTCCACCTCAGCCTCCTGAGTAGCTGGGACTACAGGTGTGCACTACCATGCCCACACATTTTTTGTTGCTTGTAAAGATGGGGTCTAACTATGTGACCCAGGATAGTCTCAAACTCTTGGCCTCAAGTAATCCTCCCGCCTCAGCCTCCCAAATGCTGGGATTATAGGCATGACTACCACACTTGATAGATATAAATTTTCCAGGTGCTTGTATATTTGAAAATGTCTTTTATTTTCCATTATTCTTGCCTTTTAGTTTGGCTGGTATAAGATTTCAGAATCAGCATTGTTTTTTCTCTGTACTTTATTTCTCTCCCACTTTCAGGAAGCATTGTTCTTTCCTTTTAGTTGGTTATCAGGTGTTCTCTTTTTACTTTATTTTCAGACGTTTCATTACCATCTGCTTAAATTTGGACTTTTTTTTTTTTGGTTGACTTATCTTGCATTTCAATTGGTAGGTTTTTATCACGTGAACTCCTGTATTTGTTTTCACTCTGGGAGAATTTTCAGGCCGTATTTCTTTGAACATTGCCCTATTGTTTCTCTTATTTATATAAACCTACACTGGCAATTTTTCTATAAACTAGGAAAATCATTCCAGGCCTATTTATTTATTTATTTGAGACAGAGTCTCACTCTGTCGCCCAGGCTGGAGTGCAATGTCACGATCTTGGTTCACTGTAACCTCTGCCTCCCTGGTTCAAGCGATTCTCCTGCCTCAGCCTCCTGAGTAGCTAGGACTGCAGGCGCCTGCCACCACGGGTGGCTAATTTTTGTATTTTTAATAGAGATGAGGTTTCACCATGTTGATCAGGCTAGTCTTGAACTCCTGACCTTGTGATCTGCTTCCCTCAGCCTCCCAAAGTGCTGGGCTTATAGGCATGAGCCACTGTACCCGGCCTCCAGGTTTATTTTGTAGTCTAGCTTTTACTTGTTCACCCATTGTAGCCGTCGCTATGGTTTGAGTGTATCTTTCAAATTTGTTGGAAATTTAATTCCTAAATTTATTCGTTGATGATATTTGGAGGTAGAAGGTATTTAGGATTTGATAAGGTCATCAGGGCAGGGCCCCTATGATGGGATTAGTAGCTTTATAAGGATAGGAAGAGAGACCTGAGCTGGCATGCTCCCTGTCTCTCATCATGTAATGCCTTCTACCAAGTTACGACATAGCAAGAAGGCCCTCACCAGATGCCAGCACCATGCTCGTGGACTTCCCGGCCCCCAGAACCTTGAGCTAAATGAACATTTTTCTTTATAAATCACCCAGTTTCTGGTATTCTGTTATAAAAATAGAAAACAAAGACAGCAATCTTTTCTGTGTCTGAAATATTTGCAGTTCCTTGAATGACCAGGCTCTACCATGTGTTCTGTGTGATGCTTGCTCCTGGTACAGGGACTGCAAATTATGTTCCAATCTATTTTTTTTTTCTTTCTTTCATAATAGATTTGCCAGTTTTTCAGTTGGGCATATACAGAAACAGACTCCATTTCTGAATTTCCCTGCTGTTCCCTCCCAGCCCCCACTCTTTGCTGTTGCTTAGAATGCAGATGTGATGACTAGAGCCATCTTAGACTGGGTTGCCCTGGAAGTGGAAGCCGTGTAAGGTGGAGCAGAGATGGAAGCCCCAGACCAATTGCCTTCAGACTCCTGCAAGTAGAAGGATAAACTCTCTTGTTTATCCCCCTGTTCTCAGTTGAACCTCATCCACACACCTCCTGGATTGCCCTTTCCACCCCAACTTCTTGAGGAACACATCATGAATCTTCTAAGACTACTTGAGTGGCTCTCTTCATTCCTGTGCAAAATGTACCCTGGATGTTTTTACCAAGGACTCAGAACACCTTACTTTGTTTGCATGTATAAATGTTTGTTCCTATCTACAAGATAGAAAGCTTCTTGAAGACAGAACTGGATTTTATTCATCCTGAAATCTTCAGGACCCAAGAGAGTACTGGCAAATAGAAGCTCCTTGATTGATTTTTTTTTTTCTTTTGAGATGGAGTCTCACTCTGTCGACCAGGCTGGAGTGCAGTGGCACAATCTCGGCTTGCTGCAACCTCTTCCGCCCGGGTTCAAGTGATTCTCCTGCCTTAGCCACCTGAGTAGCTGGAATTACAGGTAGTCTGCCACTGCGCCCGGCTAATTTTTGTATTTTTAATAGAGACAGGGCTTCACCATCTTGGTCAGGCTGGTCTTGAACTCCTGACCTTGTGATCCTCCTGCCTTGGCCTCTGAATGTGCTGGGATTACAGGCGTGAGCCACCATGCCCGGAACTCCTTGATTGATTTTTAATTCTCTCACAGAGTAAATGCTAAACCAGACACAGGAAATAGTCGGTAGAGGAACATTTTTCCCTTCCCAGTTCCTCTGCATCTTTTCTACATCACCTAATGTAATTGCATCCAATTGAACAGGGTGTGTGTTATTTCAGGGATTATTGTCATTCAAGGATATATCTATGGAATTCACCTGGGATGAATGGCAGCTACTGGATTCTACACAGAAGTACCTATACAGAGATGTGATATTGGAAAACTATCATAACCTGTTATCAGTGGGTAAGTGCTGCATCTCAACATCACATCACTCAGATAGTGAGTAATAAATTGCCATCCCTGTTTTTGTTGTTGACCTACTCTGGGATCTCTGAAGTGCTTAATGGTTATGAACTTGAACTTTAGGGGTCAAATTTCCTTCGTCCCTATTTGTCCCTCACTTCCTAATTGTAATCTTTCCCCAAGTGAGATGAGCAGTTTTCCTCTGTAGCTCTTGATTCCTCGGTCCTGTCCCTAACAGCATGGTCCCCACCCTTTATGATTTCCCATCAACAGGGTATCATGGTACCAAGCCTGACTTAATCTTCAAGTTGGAACAAGGAGAAGATCCATGGATAATAAATGCCAAAATTTCCAGGCAGAGCTGTCCAGGTGGGTGAGTGAGAATGAGGAAGGTGGGAGGCATGGGAGTGAGCTGGTGAGTACCTGAGGAGTGGGCACTTGCAGTGTTGTCTTCAGAAATGCTTCTGGAAGTCCTTGAGCTACTGGAGCTGACTCAGGATGAAGCCAGGAGCTCCTCACATAAGGAAATCGCCGTCACTCTTCATATATTTGGGTTTTCTCCCCCTCACTGTTGAGAGGCAGGCAGGCCCCTCTTCCCTGAACTCTGCTCCAGGTTTGCTTTTGGGTAAGTTTGCCTCCTCCCCACGGTCATGGTCATGGGTTTCATTGGGCATCGAGACCTTAGGGGATTTCTTTTTCCCCTCACTTGGTGTGGCTCGTGGCCCTCTATTTCCCTTTCTTTTATTTCCTCCTTTGCCTTCCACAGTTAAATCCCCTAGACTTGACTCACAGTCTTAGTCCTGGTGTCCCCTGTATCTTTGAGTGATTTTACACACCTTACACTTCCCTTTTGCGTTGTTCAGAGGGGCATTTTTTCCCAGTTTGGCTCTCCTCTCCTATGTTGTAACTGTCGAAAGACTCTTCCATTCTGAAGGTTTAAGCTTTCCCCACAGTGTTGTAACATCAAAATTGAGGTCTTCTCTTTGGCACTTGAGTCCTGGGTTTTACCTGCCTGTGGGAGCGCTACCCCATGCTTTCCCAGACTTTACTCTCAGTTTCAGAAATGGGGATTTCCTTCTAAAATTACTACTCTTCCTCAAAAGAAATAGCCAGAGTCCTTCATTTTCTTCCACAAGTTTCTTTCTTAGTGTTTCCATCTCTAAGGAGCAGTGCCATCTTGCCATTCAAGCTGTTGACTCCTCCCCTTCTGTGCTCCCACATCCAGTCCCTCAGCAAATCATCTTAGTTCTCTCCCATATGTTCCAAATTTCCTCAATTCCAGACATGTGTTAGGCCATTCTTTCATTGCTATAAAGAAACACCTGAGACTAGGTAATTTATAAGAAAAGAGGTTTAATTGGCTCAGAGTTCTGCAGGCTGTACGGGAAGCATGGCAGCATTTGCTTCTGGGGAGGTCTCAGGTAGCTCCGGTCATAGTGGAAGTCAAAGCAGGAGCAGGCACATCACATGGTGAAAGCAGGAGCAAGAAGGGGCGGGGAATGTGCCACATAATATCAAATGACCAGATCTCACAAGAACTCATTATCATGAAGACTGCACCAAGCCATGAGGGATCTGCTCCTGTGATCCAGATGCGAACACTTCCCACCAGGCCCCACCTCCAGCATGGGAGATTATAATTCAACATGGGACTTGGGCGGGAATAGGTATCCAAAGTATATCAAGAAGTGTAGTTCAGATTATCTCATTCTGGACTGCTGCAATAACTGTCTAAAGTGGTTCTCTGCCCTTTTCTTACTTTTTATAGAACAGTCAAACTGATCTTTTAAATGCAGAAGACTGAGATTTTCTGTAATTAAAAACCTTTAGGCTGGGCACAGTGGCTCATGCCTGTAATCCCAGCACTGTGGGAGGCAAAGGTGGGCAGATCACTTGAGCTCAGGAGTTTGAGACCAGCCTGGCCAACAAGGGAAACCCCATCTCTACTAAAAATACAAAAATTAGCTGGGTGTGGTGGCGAGTGCCTATAGTCCCAGCTACTCAGGAATCTGACATGGAGGATCACTTGAACCCAGAAGGTCTAGGCTGCAGTGAGCCAAGATTGCGCCACTGCACTCCAGCCTGGATGACAGAGCAAAGACCCTGTCTCCAAAAAAAAAAAAAAAATCTTAGAAATGTAAAGAACTTTTTGCCATGGTTTTGAATAATTTGGTTCTGCTTTCATTCATTCACTCAGTGGGTTTTAGCTATCCTGGCCTTTTTCTATTTCTTAAACCCTGTCAGTCAGGCTTCCTCCTCAGGAACTTTGTACTTGGTGCTGTGGCACAATCTCGGCTCACTGCAACCTCTGCTTCCCGGGTTCAAGTGATTCTCCTGCCTCAGCCTCCTTAGTAGCTGGGATTACGGGTGCCCGCCACCATGCCTGGCTAATCCAAGTGCCAGTTTTAAACCTCTATTTTAAAAACTATTTTTGATTACTGGTAATTTGCTGCCAGTTTTCACGAGGGGCCTATTTTGGTCTGTTTTGATTCAGTTCCCTTGCCCCCATGCTTGGCCAGTATTTCTTTTGAACCAGTGTGGTAGACTTGTTACCAAAAGAGAAAGGTTGATTACATGACAGTCCTAATACTGTTTAATTCCATATCAGGTTTATGTTATAATTCAAAAAGTTATCTTTTGTTTGTTTTTTGTAGATGGGTGGGAAGAATGGTACCAGAACAATCAAGATGAGCTTGAAAGTATTGAAAGAAGCTATGCTTGTGGTGTGTTGGGAAGACTTAATCTGAGCAAAACCCATGATTCTTCAAGACAGAGACTCTATAACACACATGGGAAAAGTTTGACACAAAACTCAGCTTCAAGCAGAAGTTATTTGAGAAGGAATCCTGATAAGTTTCCTGGTTATGAAGAACCATATTTTCTTAAGCATCAGAGAACTCATAGCATAGAAAAAAATTGTGTGTGTAGTGAATGTGGGAAAGCTTTTCGTTGTAAGTCACAGCTCATTGTACATCTCAGAATTCATACAGGAGAGCGGCCTTATGAATGCAGTAAATGTGAAAGAGCCTTCAGTGCCAAGTCAAACCTTAATGCTCATCAGAGAGTTCATACAGGAGAAAAACCCTACTCATGTAGTGAGTGCGAGAAGGTCTTCTCTTTCAGGTCACAGCTCATTGTCCATCAGGAAATTCACACAGGAGGGAAACCCTATGGCTGCAGTGAATGTGGGAAAGCCTATAGTTGGAAATCACAACTGCTTTTACACCAGAGAAGTCACACAGGAGTGAAACCCTATGAATGCAGTGAATGTGGGAAAGCCTTTAGTTTGAAGTCTCCATTCGTTGTACACCAGAGAACGCATACAGGAGTGAAACCACATAAATGCAGTGAATGTGGGAAAGCCTTTAGGAGTAAGTCCTATCTCCTTGTTCACGTCCGAATGCATACAGGAGAAAAACCCTATCAATGCAGTGATTGTGGGAAAGCCTTCAATATGAAGACACAACTCATCGTACATCAGGGAGTTCACACAGGAAATAATCCTTACCAATGCGGTGAATGTGGGAAAGCCTTTGGTAGGAAGGAACAGCTCACTGCACATCTGAGAGCTCATGCGGGAGAGAAGCCCTATGGATGCAGTGAATGTGGGAAGGCTTTCAGTAGCAAGTCATACCTTGTTATCCATAGGAGAACACACACCGGAGAGAGACCCTATGAATGTAGTTTGTGTGAGAGAGCCTTTTGTGGAAAATCACAGCTGATTATACATCAGAGAACTCATTCAACGGAGAAGCCCTATGAATGCAATGAATGTGAAAAAGCCTACCCTAGGAAGGCATCACTTCAAATACACCAGAAAACTCATTCAGGAGAGAAACCTTTTAAATGCAGTGAATGTGGAAAAGCCTTCACTCAGAAGTCATCTCTCAGTGAACATCAGAGAGTTCACACTGGAGAGAAACCGTGGAAGTGCTCTGAATGTGGGAAATCCTTCTGTTGGAATTCAGGGCTTCGTATACATCGGAAGACTCATAAATGAGAAATCGGAATGATGCAATGTGAGAAACTGATGTTCAGGAGACTTCGGATAATGTAGACGGGATTTACAAGCAGGAGGCCCTAAAACTACACTCATGTCAAAAATCAGAGAGGAGAGAGACCAACCATATTTGGGATGAGTGTAAAAGCTTTCAGAAATAAGTTGCAAATCTTTGTAGATGAAAATAGTGGAAGGAATGCGGAGCAATAAGTGTATCAGATGTTGTAGTATCATCATGAAGATTCAGAGAATTTACACGAGGAACACCTTATAAGTTCAATAAATTAAGGAAGCATTTCCCATGGAAAGTCACATTCCAGATTTGAAGCTGTGTTTTTGTAAAATAAAATCTCGGTTATGAACAGTTGACTTTTCATGGTGGAGTATAAAGTTGTTTTTTACAAAATATGTAAATAAAGTAATGTTCAGGAAAAACACAGGGAACAGATTCTTAAAGTTAAGGGATATTTCATATGACTTCCCTGAGTTAACACTGAAAAGTATTTCTAAAATTTTTAGTATTTTATATTTTAATGTAACTTGTTCTATCTAACTATATATATATATATATATATTTGATAGTTTGTGGAATAATGTCCCCCAGTATTTTCCATATTAAATGCTAATTGTCTTTTCTTTTTCATAAGCAGATCTGGTGTTTATTACAGGGCTGCCGCTTGAGAGAACTCATTGTAATGAACGTTTATTATATTTTGCAGTTCCGTGCCTGTTGTCCATTGATTGACATGAGCACCCTTGTTTTCTCTGGAGAAATACCTCCCCTCTCTGGGGTGCTTCCTGTGGTAGTGTCTTTCAGGTATCCGTTCCACTAGCTACAGGTGAGCATTTTACCCATTGTTGGATAATGGTAATCTCTTTTTCAGAATTTTGAGTCTGTAATTCATTCACACGTGAACCAGAAAATGTGGGAACTCGTTCAATCTTGTCCCAGAATTCTGTTGAGAACATCCATTCATTCTGGCTAACTGATTACAAGAATAACTGTGGATACTATCCCTTTAGAACCTGCTTCTCTGGTCTTCTGTTGTTTCCTCACTTCTCAATAAAAGTATCTTTTACTTTTTGTTGTTTGGGTTTTTGGTTTTTTTTCTTAAGAAGAATGACTTTCTATTTCTTTTTTATTTTTTTGAGACTAAGTTTTGCTCTTGTCCCCCAGGCTGGAGTGCAATGGCGTGATCTCAGCTCACTGCAACCTCCGCCTCCCAGGTTCAAGCAATTCCCTTGCCTCATCCTCCCGAGTAGCCGGGATTACAGCTGCCTGCCGCCATGCCTGGCTAATTTTTGTATTTTTAGTAGAGACGGGGTTTCACCATGTTGGCCAGGCTGGTCTTGAACTCCTGACCTCAGGTGATCCGCCCACTTCAGCCTCCCAAAGTCTTGGGATTACAGGTGTGAGCCACCATGCCCGGCCAGCTTTCTATTTCTTGTAACCTAAAGGCTTTAACTGATGAGTTGTTGCCTTGGTAGCATGTAGTTGACAAAGTGGGGTACATGATTTAGGTTTGTCTGTTTTTCCTGAGACAAGAAAATCTCATTCTTGTTTATATTTGAAGATAGCAACTTTTAGCCCATCATGTGAACTAGTGTTATTGTTTCTGTACACCTGAAATGTTGTCGTCCCTGACGCTGAAATTTTGGAAACTCCGAAGAACTATAGCCTTTTAAAAATTTTAAATTTATGAGAAAATCTGAGATGGGACGGAGATGGCTGATTTTGATCGTGCTAGATCTTAGATCATAAGAATGCCAGGCCTGAAGCCCTGAAATCTCATCTCAGGTTGGAGTGTCAGACTTAGCAATTTTGACATTGCTGTAAAAGTTTCTCACAGCTGTAGGAGTGAGATGGTGGGAATCAAATAGTATATTTGGCTTGGTGAATTAAAGTCAGTTCACCTCAGATGTTTACTAAATCCCTTAATGTAAACATGCATTGAAAAAGTTATCCATATTCTCCTCTTCCCCCTCGCCAAAAAAAAGTTATCCCTTGATAATTTGAATAGGAATATCTGGGAAGAACCTGAGGACTCGGCCTAGCAAACTCTTCTGATGTACTTTGCACTGCAGGTGCTTCATTTAAGGATATAGACTAGATGTTGGCAATATATAAAATTCAAACTTGAGTGTCCATAAATAACTGTTGTTAGAACATGGCTAAATATATTTGTGTATTATTTGACTGCTTTTGCACAGCAATGGCACAGTTGAGTAGCTGAGGTATAAAACACCTGCCACCTCCTGATATAAATAGAACCCCTTCCCTTTTCTGGGAAAATGTGGAATTTGCCTTGCAGGAGGAAACTTATTCTACCAATTCCCCATGGCTTATTTTTACCAGTTTGGTGACAAGAACCTACACTGAACATGCCCTGGGATGGGATTGCTCATTGAGGGAAATAGGTAGAATTCATACATAGAGCATTGCAGGAATGAGTGATATATCCAAACTTCTCGACATGACAAAACCCAAGGCAACGTGGCAAAACCCTGTCTACAAAAGGTTTTAAAAGCTGGGCACAGTGGCGCACACCTGCAATCCCGGCTCCTCAGGAGGTGGAGGCAGGAGGATTGCTTGAGGTTAAGGATGCAGTGAGCTGCACTGCACTCCAGTCTGGGCAACAGTGAGACCCTGTCTCAGAAAAAAAGTCGGGGGAGCGGGTAAATACTGTGAAATCCTTTGAGGGTGTTCAGTGAAGGGCAGTTACTTGCAGCATATACTTGGTGCGCTGACACCCAGCAGTGATGATGGTTTTTTGTTTTTTGTTTTTTTTTTTTTTTTGAGACGGAGTCTCACTCAGTCGCCCAGGCTGGAATGAATGGCATCATCTTGGCTCACTGCAAGCTCCGCCTCCTGGGTTCAAGTGATTCTCCTGCCTCAGCCTCTCGAGTAACTGGGATTACAAGGCTCACGCCACCACGCCCGGCTAATTTTTGTATTTTTAGTAGAGATGGGGTTTTACCATGTTGGCCAGGCTGGTCTTGAATTCCTGACCTCAGGTGATCCACCTGTCTTGGCCTCCCAAAGTTCTGGAATTACAGGCGTGAGCCACCACACCTGGCCATGATGATGGTTTTAAAAGTTAGCTGCAGCAGCTAGGGCAAGACCAGATCCAACACTGGCTCATGGCAAGGGGAAGAACAAATGTCAGGAACTTTGCCATAATCTAGAAGAAAGAATGGTAATGCTTTGTGACATGCTGGGATTGAATCCATTATGTGTTCCTAAGACCCTAAGCCTTTTCCCTCCACCAAGACCCAATACAAATGTGTTATTGAAAGTAGTAGCTGCTGGCTGGGCGTGGTGACTCACGCCTGTAATCCCAGCACTTTGGGAGGCCAAGGCGGGTGGGTCACGAGGTCAGGAGATTGAGACCATCCTGGCTAGTACGGTGAAACCCTGTCTCTACTAAAAATACAAAAAATTAGCCAGGTGTGGTGGTGGGCACCTGTAGTGCCAGCTACTAGGGAGGCTGAGGCGGGAGAATGGTGTGAACCCGGGAGGTGGAGCTTGCAGTGAGCTGAGATCGCGCCACTCACTCCAGCCTGGGTGACAGAGCGAGACTCCGTCTCAAAAAGAAGAAAGTAGTAGCTGCTGTCCCTAGGCCGGGAATGTGGGTGAGAGCATCTGTTAATCAAATCCATCATCTCTTGGAGGATACTGTTCTTTCAGAAGACTGGTAATGGCCCTTAACAACTAAACTAGGTTGGTTTGATTAGTGTAGGGTGGTAGGGTGGGCATGGTAATGAGGTCTCCAGTTGATTGTTAATTGTGAACTCTAAGAATGGAATTCAACCCATTTAAGGATTTGTCTGTAAAATCGAAGCATCTGATGTAACAGGCAATGTGAGTGCCATGGCCCCCAGCCCAACTTGCATACTTGCTTCAAAGAGCCCATGTTCCTTGAATTAGCCATAGACCATATACTGTTGAAGAAAGAATATAATGTGAACCTATTTCCTGTCATTTTTAGGGTGCTATACTCATAACCCAAGTAGCTTCAGAGGCTGTTGAATACTAGCTCCGACCTCACATATCAGATCATAATACTGTGATCTGATGAGCCAAGTCGGAGTTCTGATCCAAGGAATGTGGACCATTGAATCTTCTCCAGTGGTTGTTTCCCAGGACATCATAGTCCGGTGCTGCTCTGGTAGGCAGTTTGTGCCCATGTAACTCACCACACAAATACAACAATTCCTTCACAAGTCTGTACTCTCACAAGGCGAAGAGCCCACTCTGCCTCTGATGCCATGACCATGTCACGTGCCTGTTTATAGTTGATAAATTCATAGAGACTGCTACTAGCTTGCAGACCAGACCACATTCTAACAGTGTGTGCGAGATTTCAACTTTAAGACTTGTGGACTGCAAATTCTGCATTAAAGGCAGAGCATCAGTGGACAGCACCCATAGCAAAAGGACAAAGTAGGGAAAGTCTGCCCACCCACAGAAGGGAGGGATGCGGAAGCTTGTACTGGGGACTGCGTGCGAAGTGTTTTTTGTGTTTGCAACATGCTCAGTTTTAAGGTCCCAAATCCCATCTGCAAGTTCAGCAACATTCAAACTATCAAATTCACGTAAAAACTAGTTCTGCGCTTGGGATAATTTGGTGCTGGCGTGGCAAAGCCAAACGGTATCAGGGTGAACACTTCCGCTTGCCTGTACAGGACTCCCTCAGGGAAAGCTTCACTGAATAGTGGCTCAGAAAAGCAGAGGAGTGGACAGTTACTAACCGTGTTCTGTAGTAATCATTGGCTACCAGAGTATCTTTGCCTTGGTAAGAAATCCACATTTATTTGGTATCAAGGTAGTACTGTCCACAGGGAGGGTGGAAACCTCATTTCCCTCTGCTGCTAATTAGTTTAGGAGTCATGTCTCTGAGGTCCTGCCAATAACATATGACGAAAGTCTGCCGGTTATTTTCCGGGAGTGGTATTCCTTGATCGCATGCAAACTCGCTTTCCCATTTGTTTTATATTGGTGTGTGATGATGTGATTGGTTTGTGATCAAAATGCGAAACATCTCACTAGGAATAGCAATAGAGGTGGCAAAATCCTGGCTTTTTCAAAATAATTGAATTGCGATCCAACCCTGGAACTACTTTCTTCCAAATTTAGTATTAAAAAAAGTCCTTAGTCTTTTTCGAGGGAGAGTCTCGCTGTGTCACCCAGGCTGGAATGCAGTGGCACGATCATAGCTCCCTGCATCCTCTGCCTCCCAGGCTTGAGCGATTCTCATGCCTCACCCTTCTGAGTAGCTGGGACTACAGGTGTGCGTCACTATACCCAGCTAAGTTTTGTTTTTTCAGTAGAGGTGGATTTTCACCATGTTGGCCAGGCTGTTCTCAAACTCCTGACCTTAAGTGATCTCCCCACCTCAGCCTGTTAAAGTGCTGGTATTACAGGCGTGAGCCTCCACCTGTAATATATAAGAATGCTTTTAAATGCAAGTAAAAGAACCTGTAACTTAAAGTGGTATAAGGACTAAGGACTTGCAAGTATTATTTGAAATACTGAAGGGCATTGTTGAAACCCAGAGGTTCCCCATTGCTGTGGGATAATTGACTGTTGTGGAATGCTGTCCTGTTCTCCTGGGGCCACTGCTTTTACATCATGTAAATAGTGTTTATGAAAATCACAGACACGTGTACTGTGTATGTGGCACAATCCTAGTTGTGGTATGTATCTGTATTTGCACTTGCTTGGGCCTCAATGATCAACTTGTGGCAAAAGAACAAGAAAGAAGAACTGAAATACTTAGAACCAATGATTGGCAAGTCAGTCGTTATGCCACTTTCAGTTGGGAGTTATTTTGCATTTAAAAGCATTCTTATATAAAAGTGGAATTAAGAAACAGAAGGATTTTAATTTTTCAGAAAATCAGAAAACATAGCAGTTTGAGTTGTTCATTACAGATAAGATAACAGAACCATAAAGAATAGGGCAACATTAGGAAACAACAGGTGTATTGGCAAGACAGTCCAGCCTTCCACGGAAAGGTGTAGCCAATGCAAACTGGGTAATACTTGAGTTCAGGATTCCTTTACCCTTCCTGTGATCACTAAT